CCACAGATGCGCATGCCGGTAGGCATGTACCTATATGTATACAAGAAGTTTCATTTGTCTATTGAACATGATTGCATTGGTCTTTTAATTGGTTTTCATATCGTGATTCCTTGTTGCGGTTTTGCTACCTTACTTTATCGATGCCTAAATTCGGTTGAAAAGGGGTCATCCAAAGAGATTAGCTTAGCTTCTCATGCCCTTGGTAAGTTTTGTTTTGTTTTTTCCCATGTATGTCACATCTTTCTCATACTCTTCCATCAAACTTAGTATAGCTTATGCCTCTGACATTTTTATGCAGGATTGTTGGCAATTACAATTGGTTGTGGGGAAAATGCTTGTGAATTATACAGAGTGGCAATTCATCCACTTTCACAAGCTCTCAATTCCTCTCCAAAATCTATATTACCATCTGTATGTATAAGATATTTTTTATTTTTGTTGTCATTGATTTGTCTTTTGTTAGATTTATGTTTTATCTAGCAGATCAATTTCATATTCTATATTATGATTTCCTGTGGTAGATCTTGGGATGTTTGGCTATTGTTACTTTTGTTGGTCGAAGTAATGTTGTGGAGACTCAAAGAACTATGCAAATTATTTGGCACTTCATTCATTCAGAATTAGGCTTCAGTGTACGTATTCTTATGCCCCTTTTTTCTATAATTTGTTTGATCTTTGCATAGCGTACATCCATTTTATGGGCTCTTATAAAATAGTAATGCATGTAATTTTGAGTATCTCATAAGGTTCACCAACAGAATTCGAACAATTAAGTAGAGAATGCTTGACAATAGCCGCTTAGGAATTTTGATTTCAAGTATTTGCTCCGGCCTCTTTTATCAAATTCGATGTTAGGCTTTTATCCTATGACTTTTCAATTTCCTTAATCATCTACTTGCACGGTATCAATTTTGTGATTAATATGGGCTTTAAACTTCTAAGAATTTCCAAAATAAAAATGTCATTGTAAATTTGCAATACTTTATTCAATAATTTCCACCCATGAACTAGGTGACTAACACTTCTAGACTCTTTGATGGGAACCTAAAATTATGTATTGCTTTCATTCAGGTGGCTGCGGGAAAATATTCAGTTACTGTTCTAACTGCTGCAATTTCTGCTTGGTCATTTTTTTTGACAACCATGTACGGTTGGGACATCGATTACAATCATTGGCAAGGGTAAAGTACACCACCACGAATATTCATGACGCATGCAACACATATGATGCCCTTCTTTTTTTTGATGGTCCATAGCATCAAAAAAGATGTATTTCTTTTTTATGACGGTCCATAACATCAAACCATTCAAATAACAACAACTATTTATTTATGGATAAAATGAGACATTACGTATAACAATACGTGTTCATATAAACCAATAAGCCATTAATAATGAGAAAACTCAAATATTATGACTTGATTCCTTGTGTCGCTTACATGTAATACGCATGCATTATCCACTTTTACAGGGCTATTTCTTTCTTTTTGGATATATTGAAGGCAAAGGATGGTTCTGTCCATGTTGTAGCTGGTGAATCACTAGCCCTTATATTTGAAGTGGGAAATTTTGAGAAGTTCCTCTCCAACACTAAGGGTAATTACAAAGGGATCAATTTGCTAGATAAGCATTCATCTAGACAAGAATTGAAGAAAAAGTTAATAACTCAAGTAAGGAGTCTTTCGTGCGATTACAGTTGGGATTTCTTGAAAGCTTTGGAGGTATTGCTACGTTTTTTATGTATCTATGTGCTTATTGGGTTAGCATTGATGTTTCTGATCAGAGCATTTGACTTGCAGGATGATTGTTTTTCAGAAACGTTAGTGAAGATTGATGACCAAAATGTAAGATTATGCACAATGTCTCAATCGCTACAGGTATTTTTTGTCTCTTTTGTAAAATCGTTCTTTCAGTTTTTAGACTTATGTAGCAATCTTACACTTGTAATTATATCTTTCTGTATAGCTGAACTTTGTGCAGAAATTTCTTGGAGATGGATTTGTATGGCACATGTTGGTTAGTTTTGTCCTCCTCAGTTGTCCTATACCTAGCCTTGTGATATACTGCTATTTTCTAGTGTTGAAATGTCATTGCTAATTGTTTAAATAGGTAAATAAACTTCCTCGCGATGTCTTCGATTTCTCACCAAAATAGCTGCCTGTCAATGAACCATACCTATTTGAAAGAAAAGAGGTTGGTTTGATTTTTATTTTTACTGGTTCCCTTTTCAAAAAGCTTTTTGATTACCTTTTTTTTATTGTTGAGTTTATGTCTAACTTACGCTTCGAATTGTAGGTCGTTGTTCGTTTATACTGTCCTAGAATTAGAGCAAAAGGAAGTAAAGGAAAAATTCGGAAGGTACTTCTCTAAATTCATTTGTGTTAATATATCATGTTTGTGTATTCAGCCGGTTTTTTTCCCTTAAATATATTTCAATACTAAAGGAATTTGATGTGGAGCAAAACAAGCATGAGCAAGTTGTACTCATTTTTTATTGAGAATATACCCCTAAAAATTGTTGTGTATTGCTATTAAATTTGTTGTGTTTGGTTGTATTAAGTTTCTCATATTTTTAATCTACAGGCTAGAGACAAGGTAAAGACGATATTATTAAATAGGAAACGTGACGTCAAAGGTATCTTCTTTTCATACCATCTTGCACAGTACTGTTTTTACCCTTTAGTGGGAGATAAACAGAAATTAATCACAAAAGTAAAAACACGGTAGTTAGTTGACTAAACATTTAACCTTCAAATTCACTTGCTGAAGCTCTCTGTAATGACCTACTACGCCTGCCTTCTTTACTAGATGTTACCCCAATGCAGTTTGATTTGTATTGGAAAACATGAGGGTTACTATGAGCCCTTTTCAAAGATGCTAATCAAAAATATAGTTACAATTTTCCATTTTTTGAAATTAGATTTCAAAATAAGTAATACTGTATGGACTTAAAAAGTAGATTTGATAATCTTAACTATTGATTTCACTGCGGGTCCCAATATTTATTGTGATCAACTACCTATTCAATAGTTGAGATTATCAAGTCTAATTTTTAAATTCATCTAGCATTACTCTTTCAAAACTATTAGCTTGATGAATGTTTAATTTAGGAAGCATTTACGTGCAGCTATGGCTCTTGGGCTATCAGATGATTGATGGTGGAACTGAAACGGACATGGCGATCACAGTGGTAGCGTTTGTTATACAACTACAACAAGCAATCAACGGCAGCCAAAAAATCTATTTATTTGTTTTTTTAGTGTTGGTATTTTATTTTATTACGGACAAAAAAAATTAGTTTTCTTGTTATTCCACGTTTGACACTCCTAATTTTTGAATATTACTAAGAGTAACTAAGCAATGCACCATATCTTGATATTATAATTATAACATTTATAGTAAACTATGGGTTGCGAAGAGGTGGCACAAATGGACGTTGTGGATTAGTCATTATCTTAAGGTAATGAATTTACGGCTTTGTCTCAGAGTCATCAAATAGATAAACTTGCTTGTATCCAATGCAGTGAGAACAATCATATGAATGAATACGCAGTCCTGATTCTAAGTTTAATTAAGGACACCCCAAATAGCCATAAATTCTGTGTGAACACAATTGCTATGAAACTCCCTCAGGATCTAGATGTACATATAAAGGTTTTTTATATTCAAGTTTTTGCACCCACTAAAATAGAATCCTAACTCCAGCCCAGTTACATGAATGTTCCATCTCAAGCATTAATAAACACCAAGGGTATGTTTGGTTCAGATACAAATAAAGGATAGGGTTGGATAATTAGTTCCCATTTTATCCGTAAAATAGTGTTAACAAGAATCTTATTTAATCTTATCCTTGTATAACAAGTTTGGATAATATATAAATATAAAATTGTAATACCAAATTTATGTTTAGATTAAGTGATAGTGTACGTTATTAAATTAAAAACGACAAAATAAATATTGAGGGTAAGAATTTGCATAATGTATAACTTTTATATAAAAGTGTGATTCTATGTTTGCAAAGATAATAAAGGCTTTACATTTTTAATACTTAACTTTTTAAAAATAATATCATGGTATTTATTACTACTTAATTTTAGGTGTTAAATGACAATAGTAAACTAGGCCAAAATTGATTAAAATTAATATCGGATCACTATAACCTCATCTAAACTTAATATTATATTATTATCTTATTAAATTAATCTAATCTACCTTTTAATACCTAAAAGATGTCCAACGGCAATACCCACCAACAACAAAGCATTAAGCCGCAAAAACGACCATTGTGGAGTACCTAGGAAATAGAGTAACTTAAATAGAAAAAGATATTGTTGGAATGGTCTTCAAGTGACTGCAGACTGCGCTAGAAAATGTAACTATACCAAACTAATGCTACAGGGCATCATTATTTTCCTTGTCCAAAATTATATCATATCAACGACTTTTTCTCAGACAAGTGTATCAACAGTCTTCAGCTGTATCTTTGCGAGTTATTCATTACCATGCACAAGACTAAGTTAATAGTTGCATACCAAACATTCTGGCATGTCTGCCAAACCCCCATGCACGAGAAGTTCATAACTGCTTACCAAACCCCATACAACAACCGCACGTTTACCAAACATCATATCAGAAAATTTAGTAACCAACAAACTGAAGAGTGAAGACCCTCTCACTGCATTTAAATATCTCCTTAGTATAATCCATTTCTCATGATAAAATAATATTATTCCTGTGTACCCTTTAATGATGAGCCCGATTTCATTTTACCAATCGATCTTTGATTTGGACACATTGCAAGATATTAAAGATGGAAATCAGTAGTTTGGAAAATAAAGGTAGAACTGAGGGAAGAGATTGAAGGGATAAAAGTAGAACTGATAGATAAAAGTACAATTCTTTGAAATAACTAACATAAACATCAGAAATAACTAGAACCAAATGCAAATAACTAAATTAGATAGCAGCCACTAACTCTCCCAACTTATCACCAGCTTACTTCACTCATCGGCATAGTTTGGATCACCATGATCCACTGGCAGTGGTGCTAAAGCAAACTCCTCCTCAGCAAGGCCGGCCCTAGTAGGTTTGCGTTCATACTTTAGGGGGCGACCATCACTGGGATGACGCTCCTGTCTTATCACACCCTTGTTGACAAGTTTGTTTTGGATGTATTTTCTTGCATTGCCCCCACACTCCTCCTTAATCTCAATCCTTTTGACGTGATGTGAATCGTTCTCACTACCTCTACAAATATCTTTCACAGCAAAATTGCTGCAATCTTCGCTCTTCGCCTTTCCCTTGTTGTCTGCCATTTAGGTGAAGAGAGTTTGCCTTGAGAGAATATGTTTAGAAATGCAGTATGTTACACAATACAATATGTATGTATTTATAGGCCCATGAGAACAGATATTTTCACCTAACCCTATGCACATATTTACCTAACCCTAACAAAACACACACCCCATATAGCTAACAAGCAATTGTAAAACACTACTTATTCCCAGACTTAGTTATTATCCCAATCATAGCAAATGCCAATATTCTATTTCCTGCAAATAAGTGTAAAACCATTTATTTGATTCCTAGAATCTTGGTTTTCTTATCAATCATTGTGTAACTACATGTTTCCTGTGCCTGAGAAAGAAGAAAAGGATTAACCTTATACACATTTTCCTTTGGAACCCTAGTTATGCAAAAGATGTAGGTACCACTAGTGTTCCATGGAGTTACATAACTACTATTAATAGTAGAAAAATATTATTTAGATCTAATTTGGGGACCTAATCTAAAAACTTAATTTAATACAACCATTGGATTGAAAGTGAGTTTTATTTCAGATTGAAACTGACAACTAATCCAATGACTGTATTGAATTAGTTTCTCAAATTAGATCTATGTAACAAAGATCTAAATATTATGTCTTAAAGAAAGAATCATTCTGGGGTTGACATGCTCTCATGAAGTTGTGTCTTTGTTACATAACTATGTGTCTTTGTTTTTTTTTTTTTTTTAAAAAAAAGAGAAATTAAAATAAATGAAAATTGCTAATAAATGTTTCTAGTGTTGTGAAAATATATGTGATTTTGATACCGTTTATTTTGGATATTTACAAACTCAACAAGGTGATATTAATTTATTCTCCAACTATTGATTAATTTTTTAGGTTAAATAAAAAAATTCATGAACTATTAGGCCCAATCCTATATGGCATCTTTGTTCTTAGGTCATGCACTGTTACTCTTTTGCCGAATATGGGATGTCGGTTGGGGAGGAGGGGGTGGTGGAAGAAAGCAGATAGGCATCAATGCCTTTGTTTCATTACCCGGTCAGCTGTACCGAAACCCTTGCATGCTTGTACCAAAGATTTGCTCTGCTGAAATGGTTGCCAAGACCATTTCAGCTATATGAGATTGAAAGATTGTACCAAAGATTTGCTCAGCACCATTTCAGCTCTGTGAGATTGAAGCCTGGGTGGGTGTGTATTTAGGGTAGGTAAATGTTTTTTTTTTAGCTACCTCGGAGCTAAAATTCATAGGTGAATGAACTCTCTAATTAAATTAAATATAGACTTTGCGAGTGATTAATGGACTGGTCAGATAAAACATATATATGGACCTCAGATCTCTCGAGCTCAGATATTCTTTGTTAGTGCAATATGACTTGGTTAAACAAGAAAAAAAAATCAATAATTCTATTACTAATTTAATCCACTATAGTTCTTGGATTGACAGTGAACCTAATGTCAGCCACTGTTATTTTTTTAAGGAAAATTACGCCCAAATTCTTTGAGGTTTGACACTTAACAACTTAGATCTTCTGATATTTAAAATATTACACACAGGCTCCATGGGATTTGTACAGACGTAGCACTAAGTCCCCTGTTGTCAATGTCCATTAGTATATTCATTAGTAAATTACACATAAATCTCTTGAAATTTGTAGACGTATAAATACTTAAACTCCTCAAGTTTATAATGTTATACTAAGATCAAAAATACTCTAATCAAAAATAGAATATCAAATATTTTAAATTTTAAAACAAAAATTCATGTTTTATTGTATCATTTATTGAAATAAAATCAAAAACAAAAAAATTAATTTTTTATTAAAAAAATCATAATTAGTATACAATTATACCATTTTAACGGGTGTAATTTTCACGTGCTCAACATGTAATCAATCAATCAAAAAACATAACGGCCTGTCTATGTGAGAACCAAAGTGACATGAATTGAATACTTTAGAAATCAAATTGATAAAATTAATTCATGTATCTAAACTGACAAAAAATATATATTTTACGGATGAAAAGTATTGTAAGCTCAAATTTTTTTTCTCTCTTATCAATTTGACCCCATCAGATCAATCCACGGACGGTGCATACAACCACCATTTGAATTTGATTACTTGATTATTATATTTTTGGGCAAGTAATTATTTGATTGTTTACTTTGTTAAATAGGCCAGAAAACTCTACTTTAATAATTGGGCAAATAGCAGTTTGCACCTCAAAATATTAAAAAAAATTAATTTGTATCCTCAAAGATCAATTGTTTCAAATTGCACCCTCAATTATATAAATTAGTAGCAATATGACCCCAATCATAATGTTTGTTGTGATTTTCATCAAATTGTTTACCACATTAGGTGCACAAGATGACTTTTGTCAGATTATGATGTTTTTCCTATTCACGTACGTCTCACATGTTTTTCAATCCAATAAAAATCGCCGTAGATGTTGATGGGTCAACCCCAAATGGCCCAATTTATGCGGAAAGTCCAATCTCAACTTAAGAGCCCAACCTTATAAACACCAACCAAGCCCAATATGGTCCAAGTCTAGACAAAATCATTAGATTGACTACGTCATCAAGAGAGGGCACGGGAACCTTACCTGCACCGTCGAGAAAACGGTCCATCCTCACCTCATCCTTGACCGCATCTCATGGAGAGTGCCTCAATCACCTCGCCCGTTGGGAGGAAGTCATGATCTCCACCGAAATAGTTGCTGTAAAGTAGCCCCAACCCGTTAGGGAGCCACTATAAATTGTACACCCCACCAACACTCGGGGGGCATCATGACACTTTTACCCGAACATGACTCTCTCCTCTCTCTCAAGGCTTGTACTCTCAGCTCCCCACACCCTTGGGCTAATAAAGTGCCCGGCAACTAAAGCCATTCAAGAGTGGATGTAGACCACGTTGACCGAACTACTACAAATCTCGTCTCTTTCATTTCTCTTTACTTTAATTACTGCATTTATTTTCGATCACTTTGACAGGTGGTGTGCAAATCCATTTTGTGCACTATCAGTTTAGGGGTCTGCAGGAAATGACAAAATTCTCACTTCTAAACATTTCATTTGCTGAATCAAATGACGATCACTACCAGGTCCATGAACCAACCTGAAGACAATCTTCCACAAGACGAGGAGTTTGCTCCTCCACCTACCAACCCTGTCCCAAATGCTCCAGCTCTGAATCCTCAACAAATGTTGGAGACCATGCAGCAGCTGGTGGCCCAAAATCAGCAGATACTATAACTCAGGCTCGTCGGACAAGGAGCTCAACTTGGAGGACCACAGCTTGGAGGACCTCAAGGAGCTCCATGCTCTGGACATCAAAAAGCTCCACACCCTGTTGCTCCACATCTAGGCACCCATACAAGTCTAGGCACCCCCTAGGAGTCCCCTTGGGCGCCCCACATAGGGGAGCCCACTATGAGGGATTTTTACCTCCTCTTCCTTCTACTTCCCATAGTGAAGACCTTCATCCCCAAGACGATGAAGGCAAGAACCAAAGGATGGAGCATAAGAGTCATTTCCATGACTATTCCAGAGGAGCCCCTAATCATTGGAACAAGAAAATCAAGGAAATGCAAAATCAACTAGGAAACTTCTTCAATGCCATGAAGGCACAAGGACCCGAGATAGTGGACAACCTAATAAGGCGAACATACACGCTTTTCAAACCTCACGTGGCAAATTACCCCCTGCCTCAAAAGTTTAAAATGCCATATGTAGAGACTTTTGATGGAACGAAGGATCTACTAGACCACTTCGACACTTACAAAACCCTGATGCAGCTGCACAATGTCCTAGAAGAAATTATGTGCAAGGTGTTCCCAACCACCTTGAAGGGATCCACACGGCAATGGTTCGCTAAACTCTCCCCATACTCCATTGCCTCTTTTGCTGAGCTAAACAGGTCGTTCGTGTCACATTTATTGGAGGGCGTCGCCACTGGAAGCCTATCACCCATCTGCTTAGCATAAAGCAAGACCAAGAGGAGAGTCTGAGGAGCTACCACACTCGTTTTAACGAAGAGGTACTCCAGGTTGATGAGCCCGATGACAAAGTGATTATGACCGCCTTCTTAGGAGACCTCCGCTCATCAAACTTCCTTTTTCAATGACGAACCGCCCACCAAAGAGTATGTTAGAGCTATTAGCAAAGGCCCAGAAATACGTGAATGTTGAGGACATCATAAGGGCCAGGCAAGGTGAGTCCTCTAGAGTAGGGCAAAAGAGGAAGGAAAGAGAAAGAGACGACAAGAAGAAGACTAGCAACAAGCACAGCAGAACAGAGAGGATTCCTGTCAAAAATCGACTAGGTCCTGCTCCTCAGAAGAACTGACAAGCCTTCACTCTCCTCAATGTCACTGTCGGGCACATCCTATTCCAGATTCAGGATGACTCCGCGATAAAATGGCGGGGGAAAATGAAGTCTCCTCTAAATCATAGAAATCCTAACAAGTATTGTCACTTCCACCGCGATCACGGTCATGACACCGATGATTGCTATGACGTCAAAAGACAAATTGAGGAGCTCATCCAGTGCAGTCACCTACACCAGTAAGTTGCTGGTAGATAACGAGCACCACCACCTCACAATCAAGAAGATCAGCAACCCATTTGGGAGATCCACACTATCTCGGGAAGACTAGCAGAAGGTGGAGAATCACTCTCTACTATGAAGGCCTACGCGAAAAAGGCGAGACACTTCGACGAGTGGCGCCCATCCAAGGCGCCAAATTGTAAGAAGGTACACAAAATTAGAATTATTTGTCAAAAAGTGCATAACTCTTAATGTTAGGTCATTAACTTCTTATTTTTATAACTTATTTGTCCAAGTACACAATTTGACTTTTTGTAATTTTTTTTTGACATATTTGTCCTTCCTTAAATCATTCATATTTCTTTTGACAGTTAATTAGATTTTTGATTTTGTTTTATTGTATTAAAAATTTTCTAAAATAATGCAAGAATTATATTATCACAAGATTTTCATATAACGTTGATTGTGTATATCTCTGAATTTTAAATTTTTGTGTTATTATCGTTGATAGTAAATATATTTCTCTTCTTCTTCTCCAAATTATCAATCATTAACGTTCAAAAAAAATCAAAGCTATCATTCTTATTATTCTCCGACAAACACGAAAAAACTCAATCATATCGTACTTCTTCTTCTACAACGTTTATATATCATCAGGTTAAACTTATGTTTTCTTTCATTTTTTTTTATTTTTTGTTCGTTCCATAGACTGCTCGTTAGTTTTGGATTTTTTTTCTTCACTATTTTCACATCCCCGTTTCTACTTATTATGTTGAGTGATCACTTTTTGGTTAATTTTTCATCTTTCAAATGATTATTTGTTAATTTTAATA